CACAAGCTGCAGATCATCCAGAACTCTGCAGCTCGTGTCCTCTCACGCATCAGACTCCGTGATCCTATCACCCCCACCCTCTCCCTGCTCACCATCCCCAGAGGGTCGAGTTCAAAATCCTCTTCCTCGCCTTCAAAAGCCCTCCACGGCCTTCCTCCTTCCTACCTCTGTGACCTGCGAACCCCATATCAACCTGTCCACTCCCTCTACTCAGCAGGCTCCAGACTGTTGCATGTCCCCTGCCCAGCCTGGCACACCATCAGCAGTTGACCCTTCAGCCACTCTGCCCCCACCCAATGGAACTCCATCCCACAGTCCCTTCACCTCATTCCCTCCCTTGCCTCCTTCAAGGCCCGTCTCAAGACTTTCCTTTTCGACCGCACCTTCGGGCACCCTCCCAGCCTCATTGCCCTCCACCCCCGCTGATGCCAAATCCCAGCTCGGGTCCAAATCTCTGACTGTCCAACCCCTTGGGACATCCTCCCGATGTGAAGGGCGCTCTACAAGTGTAATTTGTTGTTGAATGTAATTTTTTTTGTTGTTTCAAAGTAAAATGAAATATCTCTGCTTTACATTTTTGCTACATTGCCTGTCTGTCAATCAGTCTGTCGTGCTGCCGGTCTGTCTCTCAGTCTGTCACTTTGGTCTCTCTCGCTGACTTACAGGAACTCTGCTCTGACATACCCAGAGGAGATCAGAGGAGCCTGGTCACATTGGTTGGTATAAAGCACAGGTTTGCTGTTCTATGATAATATAACTCTAAGTACAGTAACCCCCGCCTCACCAACTTTGACTTAGTTTGAATGTTAGGAACAGAAGATAGCTTATTCACTACCCTCATGAGATTCAAACAATTACAATGTTAGGTGCTGCATTTTTCAGCGACAAAAAAACGACAACGGCTTCGCAATTACACTGAGCCACAAATTCCAGTTTTCCGAACCGGATCTTCCCCCATTAATCCGATTAATTGATTGTATAACAAAAGCAGTTTATTTGTATAACCACTTTTGTCAATGACAAAAAAGTAATTATGACTTTTTAACCATTTACCACTCAGGCATTTGTTTTGCAGAAGTAATATTCAGTTAGTCGAGACATTTTCAGTGACATAATCTACTCCAGCATATTAAAAGCTGATATATTGCTGTGTGCAATTGGCTGCCATGTTTTGCCCGCAAAATAGTCAATTTGCTTTACAGTATATTCTGTGAAGCGCTTTGAGACGTCTCAAAGACGTGATAAGGCGCTTTATCAAATGTAAGGATTATTATTATTTATCCTTGCCGGGCAGTCACATACACGCCCTGTGAATTCTGACTCATACTGACAAAGCCTGCACAGATAGTGCTGTTAAAGAAGGTTCAGACTGCAGAGAAAACCCCCTCCTGGTGGTATTTCAGTTCACATTATCAGCACTCCATAGTCATAGATTGTCACTACCCAGTTCATGCCACTAGAGGACTCCAATGTAAAATTTCTCTTTCTCTTACACTTTACCTTCCTAGAGACTGAAAAGTTGGTTCATGCTGTATTTACATCATAAAACCTCTTCCTGCAATAGTTCTCATTAACAGTTGTTTAATGTTCAAACAACTATGTGTGCAAGCAAAGTTTTAATTCTGATTTTCCCAAGACTACAAGAAATGAAACCAAATTGATCCACCCCATCCCCAAATATTTCTCTCTCTGAAATTGCCTCACATCTAACACTTGCCAATTGGATTAGAAACTACGGAAGTTAGTCTATTCTCATTTCACCTCACAAAATCGGTTGAAAAGCTCTTTGGCCACCTGATCTCACCCTTCTTAATACATGTTTATATTGGTCATTCAGTTCATGGCTTCTGTGGGACATTACAATGTACAAAATTGACTGCTGCATTTGTCCATCAAATACAGTCACTGCACTTTACAGTAAATCATGTGATGCACTTTGGGACATCGTCCCGAAAGATGCTATACCAAATGTAATGATTAATATTATCTACTTGGTAATACAAGCACAAAATGAATGACATAAAAAATACTTGCATTTGATGTAGCGCTTTTCACGTCTTCTAAACGTCTCAAAGCGCTTCACAGAATACACTGTAAAGTAAATTGCCTGTATATTTGTGGGTCAACAGTCGTGACAAACAGTTGTGGATTCAAGTGACCAATTTATTAATTTTTTTTAGGGATTATTATCAGGTGTGTGGAGTAAGGAAACTTGCCCAAAGTTTTGCCCTGTCAGGAATTGAACCCAGGTCTCTCGCTTGTGAGGCGAGTGCTCTCTTGCTTGCTTCAGCTCCCCTCTCGACTCTCTACCCCCTCCTCGCTCCCTCCCTTCCCTCCCATCACCCTGACCATTTCCCCCTTGCTCGGGTCCCGACCCAACTGTCCAGCGCCTTGGGACGTCCTTCCGACGTGAATGGCGCTCTATAAATGCAATCATGTTGTTGTTGTTGTGAGGGACATGGCTGCTCCCTGCAGTTTGTAAGGGAAGGATCTCATGTGGTGCTGTGACTCAGTCCACTGTCACATTATGCCTAGATCCTCCCTCCTGCACTGCAACACTTCACTGCCGTACATTACAGGGAGGACACACAGCAGCTCTGTTGATGTTAGCAAGAGATGTGCTGAATTAATTTACTTAGGCTGAAAAGATTTTCACATAACAGCTTCTAAATAAAATATTAGATTAAGAATTTTATTAAGTTTTACATTTATAGCTTAAATACCCTTCCGTTAGTAACTGATAAACCAGTTTCTGGTTCAGGAGCAAACTAGTGATTTATAAACTGTAAACTATTAGTAGCAGTTGCAAATGTTTCTAAAATACTGCAATGTTGAATTTAAAAATGTTTTGTGTTTTACATATACAGTACTACGCAAATGCAGAAATGTACACTGTTCAAGGTCTAGAGACCTGTTGCTTTTGGGATCTTGTTGGAAGCAATCAAATTGTGGAGTCCTGTAGCTCAGTGGTTAGAGCACTCGCTTTGGAAGTGAGAGACCTGAGTTCAATTCCAGGCAGAGGGTGAAACCTTGGGCAAGTTTCCTTACTCCACATGCCTAATAATAATCCCTCCAAAAAACAAAACAATAATAAATTGGTCATTTTCAATCCATGACTGTTTGTGGGACACTGCTGTGCGCAATTGGCTGCCGCGTTCGCCCACAAATATACAGTCAATTCACTTTACAGTGTGTTCTGTGAAGCGCTTTGGGACGTCCTCCCAACGTGAAAAGCGCTATATCAAAATGCAAGGATTATTATTATTATTAAATTGTGCGATTGGCTCCTCTGCAATGTGAGAGGTTGCACCTTGTGTCCACAGTTAGACTGCTCTCACTCTCTTCCTGACGCTCTCTGTACAGAGAGGTACTAACATAAATACTTATACAGTAAAAGAAGAATCCATAATAATACAATACAAAATTATATTTATAAAGTGTCTTTCGCGTTGGGAGGACATCACAAAGGGTTGAACAGTCAGGGATTAGGACCCTAGTGGGGTGGGTGGGTAAGTTGGGGAATTGGGATCAGGGAGGGTGGAGGTTGGGAGGGTAGGAGGATGGCTGAAGGCACGGTCGAAGAGGAGGGTCTTGTGTCGTACCCTGAAGGAAGCAAGGGAGGGAGCGAGGTGAAGGGAATGTGGGATGGAGTTCCAAAGGTTGGGTGCAGAGAGGCTGAAGACCCGACCGCTAATGGTGGAGCAGGGCAGGCGGGAACATGGAACAGCTTGCTGAGTGGAAGTAGCAGACAGGTTGATAAGTGGTTAGCAGGTCGGAGAGGTAGGAGTGGGCAAGGCCATGGAGGGCCTTGAAGGCGAGGACAAGGATTTTGAACTCGATTCTCTGAGGGATGGGGAGCCAGTAGAGCCAGACGAGGGTGGGTGTGATGAGGTCACGGAGCCTGGTGCAGGAGAGGGCATGAGCTGCAAAGTTCTGAATGATCTGCATCTTGTGGAGGGAAGAGTTGGGAAGGCCGACAAGCAGGGCATTGGCATAGTCGAGCCTGGTTGTGATGAAGGCATATTTGAGGGTTTCGGTGGCCTGAGGGGTGGGGCAGTGGCGGAGTCGGGCAATGTTGCGGAGGTGGGGGAGGCAAAGCGGGCCATGGCACGGATGTGGGAGAGAGTCAAATAAGACACCTAGGTTGCTGACTGGCTTAGTGAGTTAAAGTGTGTAACCTTGGATGTTGATGCTGCCAATGCCTGAGGTGCGGAGGCGCTGATGGGAGCCAATCAGGAAGGCCTCAGTTTTGCTGACATTCAACTGTACAAAGTTGACTTTCACCCAGGAGTTGATGTCTGACAGGCAGTCTGTCAGGACATCAGTGGTCCTGTGGTCGAGGGTGGAGGCAGAGAGATAGAGTTGGCAAGGATAATAATCCTTGCATGTGATATAACGCTTTATCATGTCTTCAAGTCATATACTGTAAAGTGAACCGTGGGTGAAATGTGGCAGCCAATTGCGCACAGCAGTGTCCCACAAAAAGTCATGGATTGAGTGACCAATTTTTTAAAATTTTATTGTACAGTATTTTTTAAGGGATTATTAGCCTCAGTGATCCGCGAATCGACTAACAACAGAGTTTCTACTTACTGCTAGGTAAACAGAACCTTGTGGAGTAAAGAAACTTGCTGAAACTCTCCCTGCCCAGGAATCAAACCCAGGTCCTTGATTGCGAGGCAAATGCTCTGACCACTGAGCTTCAGAACTCCAAAATAGATCCGTTCTTCTTTTGCTGTACAAGTATTACTAAATGAAGGGACATGAGGGAAGGAAATTTCAAACATTAACTTACTTTTCATCCGAAGACCTTCCCACCACAAAGCAGTGCATGTGCATTGCCAGGTCCTCTCCCAGCCTCTTGGCTCACGCTGTAGGCACGAACCGTCCCTGCTCTCTCATCTCCTTTCTCCATCCCGGGCGGAGTCTCTATCGCATACATCGCGGCACCATAAAAAGCCATCATTCAAATCACACCATGATTGTACTCGCCTCTATGTGTTTTATGTTATCATATTTTAGTTAAAACATTTTAGCTAATTCATTTTAAGAGAACATTATAACATTCCAAATCCATTTCACATACTAATTCAATTGCATTTACAGTGCCTCCATCTAATAACTAGTTCCAATTCTCAATCGGCACAATTCCATATTACAACTAATCGATCGCTAATAACATTCTGGATAAAAATCACATGTTTTTTTCCCTGTAATTTAACGGACAAACATACAACATTATGAAGATACTTGGAACAGTTTATATGTTACTTATGATGCTAAATTGGAATTAATTCATGAATACTGCACGGCTATTATTTGGGAGTCAGTCATTTGCGGGATGTGAATTGTCTCCCAAGTATCTTTATTCTACTGAAATACTGATGAACACAACCATTTTGAATTTTTTTTAAAAAACACTCCATTTAAGACTGATATTGTGTACATTATAGATTTGAGAGAGACAGAATTGCACTATTGATTTAATCCCATTAGGCCTGCAAACCCATGCAGAGCTATGCAGAGAATTAATGGAAGAACTCCAGGCTGTTTCCTAGTCATCACTTTGATAGAAGACTTTTCCCTCTCGAGCTGCATGTGTGATAAACCAAACAGTCGCTGGGCTGTGTAGAATTTGTTCTCTTCTTTCAACATGAACAAACCTGGGCTGTCGATGGGAAGTGTTCCATCATCAGAGAGGTTATTTATCTAAAAGGATGACAATACATAGTTATTCTGTTTAATCAAGTAATAGTTGAAGCCTCTCAATTTTCTTTGTTCCTCTCCTGAAAGGGCAGTGAATGACGATGTAACAAGAAGATGATGGAATGGGTATTCTGGAAGCATGAGATCAAATGGGGTAACATCTTAGTTATTTCTAATTCACGATGAATGCCATAAGGTTTGACTATGAGGCAAACATTATTGAGGTTTGACTGTGATCCCTTCTGAATCGTAGATATATTCCAACATATTGTAGTAAATTTCTGGCAGAAGTAGACACTAGCCCAGCTAGCCCACTCCTACAACTACAAGATTCCTTCCACTTATCCCCTAATAACCCTGGCAATAGGTGTGGCCAATGCTCCAGTAGTCGTGTTGTTAGATTTCATTATGATGTTTTACATCTGGATTTCAGATAGCTCTTTGACAAATACGAATTCCACAATTGATGCTTCATGTGTTCTTGGTCAAAGAATAGTTTGACTTTGGTACAGTGATATATTTTCTCATTTTCCACCTTACCTTGCAGCCCAACTGAGAATAAGGCAGTTTAGAAAATGACCGGCCCTAAAGTTCTGATGAGCTGATAATTGAGTCTTTTCCTATTAAGTATTAGCCTGACTTAGTTTAGGTTTGTAGCACTCTCATCTCTGCGTCAGAAGGTTGTGGCTTCAAGCTCTATACGGGGACTTTGAACTCACACAATTGTTGACTGGCAGCTCATTGAATTGTTAGAGGTGCCGTCCTTCAGATGAGATATTAAACCGACATTCTGACTGCCTATTCAGGTAGATGTTAAATATCTCATGGCACTATTCAAAAAGTGAAGAAAATATCCCCCAGTATCCTAGCCAACAATTTCCCCCAGATAAAATCAGTCATTCACTTCATGACCGTCATGGGACATTGATGTGTGCAAATTGACTGCTGGATTCACTCACAAAATACACAGTCACTACACTTTATAGCAACCTCCTATGAAGTGCTTTGAAATATTCTCCTGATGTGAAAGGCACTGTGCCAATGCAAGGATTATTATTTATCTAAACTTACCAAATGCCATAGTGTAGGAATGACTTGCATTTCACAGCAAATACCCAAGACTGTACGACACGCGTCAGACATATCTAAACAAGTAAACGGTTTGTTTATTATATAATGTTTCAGTTGTAGTTTAAAAAACAAGTTTCAAAGCTCAATGTATTTATAATAAAACCAAATCTGTGTCCAGACAAGGATCTTGCAATGCATTGCTGTTCTTAAGACTGCCCCAGGAATAATCTGGAGAAAAGAAACTAATTTAGCTGCAAACTAAATTGATAATTGATCATTTTAACTATGTTTAAAACAATTCAATGAAATGTAATTTAGTTCTTACCAAAATTAATTTAAAAATATCTATTCAAAAGTATTTAACTAAAGAGCTTAAGACGAACAAATATAATTCAACAAAGTCTACATTAGTGATTAATTTGGACAGTCATTCCTTACATCACCTCAATGTTCTTTGAAACAATTAGATTTCAGTTTGTCTTACTAGGTACGACTCTCATCTCTGGGATAGAAGATTGTGGGTTCAAGCCCCCTGGGCCTTGAGCTTATAGTCTAGGCTGGCTCTAACAATGCACTTCTCCCTCATTACAGTCTTTGTAATTAAACAAGACAAACATAAACAAAAATCGTGTCTGCCTATTTTTCAGGTGAACATTAAAGATTTCACAGCACAATTGGTAATTAAATGGTGTTTCTCAGGCTATTAACCCTCCTTCACCTTATAGCTGTTTGTGAGACCTTGCCAGTGCAAACATTGTCTACAGAAACAATTACTATACTTGAGAGCAATTACTTGCAAAGTGCTTCGTAAAATTCAATGTGGCAAGAAACTATAAAAATATAAGCTCTTTCTTCCATTCAGAGATCGCACAATTGTTTGCTACTAATTTCCTAGAGATTAATATTTGATAAAAATGTCCAGGCTTCAGGTTTTTTTTTACTTACCATCTAAAGCACTGATAAAATAGAACACAGTTGTAAATAGCTCCTGTGTTGCAATCTCTTTGGTTTTTTTCAGGTGCTCTTTGTCTGTGCTGTAACCCAGAAACTGCAGCAGCTCCTTGACATTTTGCACCTGAGTTGGTTCCAGCTCATGTAATCCCGACAGATTTGGCTGCTCACCCAAAGAAAGCTCATTTAGCTGCAAAACAAACAACAAAATTGTTGATCCTATAGGCAGTATTAAATAGGAGCAATGTTGATTACCTATGATACATGCGGGTGGAAATTTCACCTGGGTATAGATTTACTCTAGAATGTACAGGAATTGGAAAATTCTTAAATTTGATTTTTAAAGTTTGAAGTCAGTTTTCAGTAGTTTTTTTTAAAGACCTGCACAAAACAGGCTTCAAAATTAAAACTGAATTCAATCATTTGACTAAATTCTTTACGCTCTGAAATGCTATGTTAACAGAGTAAATTTAGACCTAATTAGGTATTTATTTTACCTAATAGTGTTGCTCACTTTAAATCAATCTACATGCAAATAGGAACTTCTAGCATCCCAATGGAGAAAGTCACAGAGACATTTGAGTCACCTAGACTTTGATAAGGAGACTTCTCTCACTCAGGTAACACACACAAGCTTCACTTTGGACTACACCGTTCATTCTTTAATCAGCGGAACAAGCTTTGAGAGACCAAGAAATAATTATCAATACAGTTATCAATAAGCAGTGCCAAGCTTCACAAGAGCGGAGTGCGAGACAGGTTAGAAAGAAGAACTATACATTGAGGATGACCTTCTCTATGTAGATCTCCTCCCCCAAAAAACTCCCCTTCCAATATAATCTAACATTCATTCAACTTCCACTTACAAATAAGGCCCCATCCTAGAAACCAGACTACTGACACCACCACAGAAGGTTTACTCAATCCTGACATTCCATTACCAAGCACATCACTTTGGAGCCAGAACAGTTCCAAAGAGGATAAGTTTAGTTTGGTTTAGTGATGGATTACCTGTTGCTGTGCGACTTGTCTGCTCAGTAACAGGACAAATCATTTAACAAGTTAATTTACTTTCAAATTCAGATTCTCGGTGAATGCCTAAATATATATATATATATATATATATATATAGCAGGTGCAAATCAGCTCTGTTGAGTCAATGAGGCAGAAATATCCTATCATTGTTTGTATCCAGCTTCAGTGAATCATAGGAGAAGGCGTTGTTTTGTGCTGGGAGTTTGTGCTCACTAAGCAGACTGATCCTGTCAGAATGACACCTGAAATCTGCCATCACTGAAAGTATCTGCTGAGATCATTTAGTGCTCAGCTGGATGCGTGGTTCTGTTTCCACAGAGATGCACAGCAGTAATCCCATAGCAATGTGAATATAGTTTCTGGGATTAGGTAAACAGGTTGCATCCCTCTGGGAAGAGAGTGTCTATTCCATTCAGATGAATGGAAATTTCCATGGATATGTGGAACATTCAGGAGTTGGGTTTGGAAACTCTTAATAATCCTTGCATTTGATATAGCACCTTATCACATCTTCAAGATGTCTCAAAGCGCTTCACAGATTAAGCATGAAAATGGGTTTCCATGTGTGTCACACACTCAGCTGAGACAACAAAAGTTTATAAAAAGCATGTACAGTTCATTCTTGATGTCTATGGTTCCAGAAAATTGGCTTACAATAGTTTCAAGAAGGCAAATCGCTTCACCCTGATATAAGAGTTCACTGTACAGTCTAAACAACTGCTGGCATTTTCCTTCTGAAAGAGCTTCAAATGGCTGGAGTTGTTGCTTAGCTTCTTCGATATCTGAAAAGTATTATAAATACAAATCTGAGTTGAGGACACGTTCCGTGGCAATTAAACATTAAGTTCTACAATCACAGCACATGCAGAGCTTATCTCAGTTATTGTCAGACATTTAAACTATTTCTCAGCAGACCTTGAACATTAGAATCTGATATCATAAGGTGGGACCATATTCAGAAAGCTCACACATTAGAGATCATATTCACATATTGAATAAATGGACTAAACCCAAACCTAAACTCCCTTTCCCCCTTCATCACCAAAATGACTAGCCCCACTTTGGATCTTTTATACATTTAATATTCATGCCAAAATATAGGCAGTAAATTGGACATCCCAAAAGTTGTGTTAACCACTTCTTACTTCATTGATGTTTGTTCAAAACTGAATTCCAGGAATCCCAAGTATAAGCAACCTGGAAATTTTAAAAAATTGAGAACCGAGATGAAACATTTGAGACCCATAGTGCAGGACACGGTTGACAAGATCAACAGGTAAACTGAGATGTAGTGATTAGGTGACAGCACAAGGTTAAGTTTAAAGGTCTGTAATGAGAAAGGGTAGACTGGGAAGTATGGTGGAGTGCCTCAGTCTTGAGATCTTGGGAAAGAATGAATTAAAATGAGACGCACTGTAATATTAATAATCTCAGTCAAAAAGTATCCTTAAATATGTAATGAGTACAAGAAAACACTTTCATGAAAATAACTTAAACGCTGCCAACCGAATAATTCTCTAAGCACAATGTTCTCTCAGTGACACTTTGCCAGTTTATTTAAGAGGTTGATGTCTACCAGCAATAAATACCACAAAGTAAAACTTTTATCCTCTTGGTATAAACATTAAAGATAATCCTCCTCTGTATCACAGGCAGTGTGACTCACCTTGCTCCCATGTGCATATGTGTGGATACAGATGCGGGAAGGATATATAATATAATAATCCTTGCATTTGATATAGCGCTTTTCACTTCTAGACGTTGTAAAGTGAATTGACTGTAGATTTGTGGGCGAAATATAAAGGATAAAAGATAGACTAACCCAACTATGTATGACATCATAGGATCAGGCACACAGGTACACAGGAATAATACCCATGAAGGCAAGCAGCACCTGTGGAACCATACCCCAATAGAAGGGCAAAAAAAATGTTGGCAGGTTGCTTCCAGGAAAATGTGGAGGAGAGAAAACTGGAGCGGAAAACATGACAATTAAAAGTAAAACAATAAAAGAGATAGCTTGAATCTCATGAATGTTGGAATCGTGAGAGCATTCTTTGCAATGGCACCAATAAATTCATAAACTTACCTTGTTTTAAAGCACTCAGTGATGTTTCACTGCAAACATTCTTCTCATCTGTATGGTGCCGGCTTCCATGCTTCTGTGTTGAAGCATCAACACAGTCTAAAGCAGAACATGCTGTGGAAACATAAGCTTCTTTCCCCTTATCCCATTCAGCTTTATCAAAGCCTCCACACTTGTCTGAAAGCAGGCACAATTCTGCCACAAACACAAAACACTTATGTTAACAGCTATGCTAAATATCTTAACCACAACACAACTAACCATTAAAGAATTAAACCTCTAATGAATCATGTTACAAAACAATTATCGTCAGAATCAGCCTAAATACGACTTCCCAAAGCCCAGAAATAACACCACAGGTTTATCACTAATTCACTGGGGTTTGGCTCTATGTTGAAACTTAGCCGAAGATAGACTAACCCAACTCAGCATGACTTCATAGAACCTTCATAGCACAACTTGCATTTATATTATATATTTCATGCAGGGTAGTATTAAAAGAATTTTATAAAGGCAAGCAGGCAAGTAATTACCCACAAAGCAGAAGAGTTACCCAATACTACACAAAGCCAAAGAGCCATATTTGAAGCCTACAAAAGGAAGAAATCCTGACAGTGATGTCAGCTTTCAAATAATCTACAAAGCCTCAAGCAGCTCAGCCCAGTTGGTAGCAATTTTACCTGTGGATCAAGCAGTTGTTTTCAAGCTCTACATTGGGATTTTGAGCCCTCAATCTAGATTGGACAATTTATTTCAGTGCTGTGGGAGTACTGCATTGTCAGAATTGTTGTGCTTCAGATGAAACATTAAATCAAGGTACCATCTGCTGTTTCAGGAGGATGACAAATATCCCATGGCACTATTCAAAAAGAGAAGTGATTTTCTCACAGTACCCTAACCAACAAATCTCCAGATAAAACTGATGATTTACTTAATGGCCATTTATGGAACTTGCTGTGTGTAAATTGACTACAGCATTTGCCTACACAGTCACCACACTAAAACAGCAATTACCTATGCTAGATTAAATGCAAGGATTATTATTAGTAGTAGTAGTAATATTATTAGTAATGATCATAATTCTTGACTGGCATACCTTCTTAACTAACATCTTAGTTATCTATGCTCTACGCCATCAAGGAGAGGTAACTTGGAGACTTTTAAATCCAGTCAATTTAAACTACATTTGAACCCAGTCCAAAATACAAAAAACAATGCACTAACTCACTCACTGCTTAATTCTAATGTTAAACCAAGTGCAGTTAAAAAGAAAATCATCTACGCAAAATGTTAGTATTGTTAATTTATGAACTTTCTCTTTTCATTATCAGATCATCATCATTTAAAGTATACTCCGAATTGCTGATACGTACCAAACTGTCCATTAGTTTTTAGATGAGTTCTTTGACACTGTATGCTATAACAGTTTGAGGTGGGATCTCCAAAACAATTTCCTTTGATAAACTCCCATCGTTATTTGCTGACACCTACAAAAGAAGGCTGCTTAGAGACATGTCAAAGAGAACTTATGAAAGAATCCCACATTATAAATTTAGACAAATACTCCAGAGTCCCATAATCTCACAAGTCTTGGACATCATAAGAATATAAATTGAAGATTGTGCAAAATTTGGAAAATTGTTCAATTCAGTCTTATTTTAAAAGCCTTTTTTTCCACGAAAAAAAGTGATCCATAAATTTTGTGTAACATTGTTCCTATATTAAGAGAAGAAATGATGTGACTGCTCAGGCACAGTGTATTCAATTTTTAAGAAGTCATACTGATGCCTGCTTTAATTGGCAAAATGCAATACACCACTTGCAAGAGCAGTGGAGTAACACCATCAGATTCCCACTGGTTCAGACATTCTCAACCTTCTTACAATAAGTGGCCTTATTATTTTGCCTGTGCGGTGGGAAGCCAGAAATTCCATGCACTTGATGATATTTTGTGCCCACTGAAGCAACAATCCAGTAAAAATGCTTCCATACCCATATAATGTCAAGTTCGCCGACACACACACACACACAAGCACAGCGGCAGAAAAAAACTGCAAGGCATTTGAAAAAGGACTCTTATTAACGTTAATCTCCCAACTCATTGTCCAGTGCCATTGGGCTGGCTCCCAAGTCCACATTACAAAGGCATGAAGTGTATTTTTTTAAGTTTGTCTTACAACACAAAGCAAACACACAAATGCGTATCAGTCAGCATACATACCTTCAACATTTTGATTTTGAGTCCGAACATGCCACCACACTTTTCCGCAATCTGCAGGTGCTCCGATATAAAGCACTGTTGGGTTGTGATAATCTTTTCATTAACCACACACAAGACTTCATCTCCTCTTTCACGTGTTTGCTGCACAAGACTGTGCCTCATATTTATAGTCCTGGAAAAGTAAGCAAGTGGATCGAATAACCGTTTAAGTCTTACATTGACAAAGTCCTTGGAAAGCAAGACTAAAACAGAATCAGGGTTTATAAGCTTTTCGCAATGAACTGTGCATTACAGATTTCTTACTGTAGCTTGGGAAAAGGGGACTGAGATGAACAGCTCTTCCGGTAAGAAAAAAATCCCTAAAATATTTTAGTTAGTCATTGTATTTATCTAGTAAAAACTATCACCTTTGAAGAGCTTCACTGGTCATGAGTGAGATCAAGCATACTATGCTGCCCTGCACATGGTATTTCTTGAAATATTGCCACCAAAGGTTCAGAATAAACCGAGGTCAGACATAAAAACTTCATGAAATTCAAAGGACACAGCACCAGGTCTGGAGACCCGAGTGTCAGAACAAACCAGTTGATGGCGTGGATGAGATCTTTCAAAACTCTAAGAGCGCAGTGGTGGAGAAGTCATATACCAGTCACTCAATGGTAAGTGTGTCTTATTGCAGAAATCTAGGGGAGATGGTTTATCCATCCTCTCAGGGAATGGATCTGGGCCAAGTTTGTCTCTCAATTAAAACAAGTAGAGTACACGGAGTATTGAGTGTAAAATGGTTCTTTATCATTACATTATAAGAGGCTGATCACTTTGCATATGATCTGTGATAGAATGAAGCAATTGTTAATGTTACCAGTTCAGATTGTTATTTATCCACCATAAAGCACAAGTTGTAAATGCAATAAGAACTAGGAATTCAACTCCAGTTCAACTTCGAGAAGACTGAGACTCTTCTGATTGTGTCTTCTCACGGTCCCCCCTCGACCTTTGCCCTTACTCCTTCGGAACCTTCCCCTCCTTTGAACACCTTACCCTCTAGCACCCCTCCAGGCTTTCCTTCAAAATCGTCCTTGTTTACCATCCCCCCAAGCCTGCCCCCACCTTCCTCTCGGCCATCTCCACCCTCCTATCTTCCCTCCCCCTCTGCTCTGAACACTTCCTTATCTTAGGTGACTTCAACCTCCACTTCACCCCCTCCTGCTCTACCTCTGCTGACTTCTCCTCCCTCCTCTCTTCCCTTAACCTTCCCTCCTCATCCACTCCCCCACCCACGACCATGGCCACCCCCTTGACCTGGTGATCAACTGGGGCCTCACCATCTTGGACATCACCATCGTCGATAAAGCCATCTCGGACCACCACTTCATCTCCCTCAACACCTCAGTACCCCTTCCCAACCCTCCACCATTACATATCATCCATGGAAAAAAATTTCCTCCCTCTCCACTGCCCTGGAGTCATCTGAACTCCTTCACCTCTGCCCTCACTGACCGATCTCCCCTCCTCACTCTCCTTTCTCCACAACTCTCTCTCCTCCATTCTGGATTCCCTTGCCCTCCTCACCTCCTGAACTGCCTCATATCCTGTAAATACTCCTGGTACACCAGCCATCTCCGTTCCCTCAAGGCACAAGTGCGAGCTGCCGAATGCGCCTGGACCAAATCCAAACTAACGGTCCATCGGCAGATTTGGCTTCACCACACCAAGACCTACTGCTGTGCTCTTGCCTCCGCCAAATCCTCCTTCTACTCCAAGGTTATCTTGGAGGCAAAGGACAACCCCAGGCTTCTCTTTTCCATCACTAACCATCTCTTCCGTCCACCTTCCCATACCTCTCCCATCCTCTCCTCAAACTCCAATGGTGAGGAGATGCTGGACTTCCTCGAATCTAAAATCGAGGGGATACGTTCAGCCACCTCAGCCCCGTCCACAGCCACCCCCACATCACCTCTCCCTCATGACCTACACCTCACCCATCCCCACCTGTCTCCTCGTCTCCCAGCTCCACCTTCTGGCCCCTCTCCTGTCCGATGTCATCCACCTCTCCTTGTCCACCGGTTCAGTTCCAACACCCCTAAAAACAGCCATCATCACACCCTCTTGAAAAAACCTTCCCTGGACCCATCCCTCCTGTCCAGCTACTGCCACATCTCTAACCTCCCATTCCTCTCCAAGGTCCTGGAATGAGTCGTCATGTCCCAGCTCCGCTCCTTTCTCTCTCACCATTCCCTCTTTGAACCCCTCCAATCCGGCTTCCGCGCTGCCCACAGCACAGAAACAGCCCTGGTCAAAGCCACTAATGACATTCTGAACATCTGTGATCAGGGCTCCCTCTGCCTCCTTGTCCTCCTCGACCTCTCTGCCGCCTTCGACACAGTCGACCCTCCATCCTCATACACCGCCTCTCCGCTTTACTCAATCTTCACAGGTCTGCCCTTGTCTGGTTCGATTCCTATCTCTCTCACCGTCTCCACTTTGTTGCCTCTAACGGTTTCTCCTCCAGTCCCCGCACTGTCACGTCTGGTGTCCCCCAGGGCTCTGTCCTTGGCCCTCTCCTCTTTAATACCTACATGCTCCCCCTTGGTGACATCATCCGCAGACATGGGGTCAACTTCCACATGTATGCAGATGACACCCAACTCTATGTTTCTGCCTCCACCCTCAACTCCAGGACCACTGCTGTCCTGACAGACTGTCTGTCGGACAACAAGTCCTGGATGAGGGCAAATTTCCTACAGTTGAATGTGAACAAGACTGAGGCCCTCCTGATTGCCTCGCGCCAGCGCCTCAGCACCTCAGGCTCTGGCAGCATCAACCTCCATGGTTGCTCACTTCAACTCACCAGCCAGTCAGGAACCTGGGTGTCTTGTTCGACCCTCAACTGTCTTTTCTTCCCCACATCCAAGCCATGACCCGCTCTGCCTCCCCTCACCTCCGTAACATCGCCCGACTCCGCCAATACCTCACCCCTCAGGCCATTGCAACTCTTGTTCATGCCTTCATCACCTCCAGGCTCGACTATGCAAATGCCCTGCTTGTCGGCCTTCCCAACTCCTCCCTCCACAGGCTGCAGATAATCCAGAACTCTGCAGCCCGTGTCCTCTCCCGCACCAAACACCGTGACCCCATCTCCCCCACTCTCACCCGACTCCATTGGCTCCCTATCCTTCAGAGGATCCAGTTCAAGATCCTGGTCCTCACATACAAAGCCCTCCATGGCCTCGCGCCCCACCCTACCTCTGTGACCTCCTAACCTCCTACCAACCCGCCCGTTCTCTCCGCTCAGCCGGCTCTGGCCTGCTCCACGACTCCCAACCCACCCGCCCCACCATTGGCGGGAGAGCCATTAGCCACTCTGCCCCCAACCTCTGGAATTCCATCCCCCAGTCACTCCGCCTCGCCCCCTCCAAGTCCCGCCTCAAGACCCTCCTCTTCAACCATGCCATCAGCCACCCACCTTCCCCTCCCCTTCCTTCCCCCACAACTGACCCCAGCTACCAAATCGCCCCTACCCACCTGGCACCCATGCTGAATGCAAACCCTGGACTGTCCAGCGCCTTGTGACATCCTCCCAACGTGAAAGGTGCTATATACATGTAAATTTGTATCGTATTGTAAGACAGAGAAGCAAGAAAGATTATATTCAAATGGAAGATAACCAGGAGTGGAAGAGAAAGGAAAAAAACAGAAGTATTTATAGTGTGAAGTACGTTTCCACAATTTTGAAGAAAAACCACAACTTCCTGCTGCATGCTAGTATATTACATCACCACAAACTGACATTGGAGCTCTGTGCCTACTTCAAAGAAATGTCAAGCTTCTGGGATTCTATGCAGGGGCATTCACAATTAAATAAGTAATTAATTGAATAATCTTTTGCAATTGCCAGTAACTGACTCTGAGGCTACACAAAAAAAATGCATTTGGGCTTTGCCAGAACCATCCCTCTTGTTGTTGTGGCCAAGGCATGTGGGATCATTTAGGTGGGAAGCTAAAATATTTTCCTACAGCTAGATTCTATGTTAGCTTTATAGTCTGATGAATTCAGCAATATAAACTAATATACTCACTCTTGTGTACTATTGAATAGGCACATGTCAGTGGCATTAACTAAATGATCCTGCATTTTAAAGCTTAATTATAAAGTAAACATTCCTTCCTTTTAAAATTAGCCCATTCTCTGAACAGTTATGCCCTCTTTTCTCTCCATGTAATCAGTTGAAGGAAAGCTTCGTCAACAAAATATACAGTCAATTCACTTTACAGTATAATCTGTGCAGCGTTTTGACAGGTCTCAATGACATGATAAAGCACTATATGTGGAGTCCTGTAGCTCAGTGGTAACAGTACTCGCCTCGCAAGCGAGCGACCTGGGTTCGATTCCTGGCAGGGCGAAACGTTGAGTTTCCTTACTCCACACCCCTCTGTTTATCTAGCAGTAAGTAGGAACCCGGTTGTTAGTCGATTGGCGGATCGCTTTTCTAAGGGTAATAATTCCTTCAAAAAAAAAAAAAAATTGGTCACTTCAATCCATGACCGTTTGTGGGATGCTGCTGTGTGCAATTGGCTGCCGCGTTTCGCCCCTAAAATATAGTCAATTCACTCTACATTATATTCTGGGAAGCATTTTGAGACGTCTCGAAGACATGATGAGGCGCTGTATCTGATGCAAGTATTATTATTATTATTACATCAAATTTAAGGATTATTATTATTATAAAGTAACTTGTGCTCGTAGGCAACTATTACATTGGCTTTTGTTTGACCTAATAGTGGTTCCAGATGAAAAGAAAACAACGAGTTAGGTCATGTAGGTTATCAGCCTGGCTCAGTTGCCAGCACTCGGAGTCAGAAGGTTGTGGGTTCAAGCCTCACATCAGAATTTGGAGCTCACACAGTACAGGCTGACCCAATGCAGTACTGGGGGGTATTGCGTTGTTAAAGATGCAGTCCTTCAAATTAAACATCAAATCAAGGCCTCATCTGTCTGTTCAGGTGACATTAAAGATCTCATGGCACTACTCAACAAGGGAGTTTCTCCAATTCTCCAAATAAAATTGGTCATTCACTGTTTGTGGGACATTACTGTGTGCAAACTGATTGCTTTATGCACCTACAAAATAACAATTATCACACTCTAGGGCCATCTTCGTCCTCACCTTCAAGGCCCTCCATGGCTTTGCCCCTCCTACCTCTCCGATCTTCTAACCCCTTAGCAACCTGTCTGCTCTTTCCGCTCAGCAGGCTCTGGACTGCTCCATGTCCCCCACCCAGCCTGCCCCACCACATTCCCTTTGCCTTGCTCCCTCCCTTACTTCCTTCAAGACCCTCCTCTTCAACCATGCCTTCGGCCACCCTCTCTGCCCGCCACCGACCCCGATCCTAACCCCCACCGCTCAGGCCCTAATCTCTAACTGTTCAGCATCTTGGGACATCCTCCCAACTTGAAAGGAGCTTTACAAATGTAATTTTGTATTGTATTTTTATGAAGCGCTTTCGGACATCTTGATAAAAGAATATATAAATAAGAAGAATTATTTATTTTTATTATTCTGTAGTTGTATCATCCTTTACCTTTCTTGAGATATTTTCAAAACTTGGTGCAAATCGACTTCTTGTTTCCTCAGTTTTCCAAAGGAAGATTCCAGTGCTATGGAGTTCTGACCTTCGATATGGAAGCTGATATCAGCAATCAAAGTGTTCATGGCTCCACCAACACTGTTTTCAAAAATTCCCTCATACTTTAAGAAGTTAGATTCTTTAACAGCTGCAAGATACCAAGAGTTTAAGTTATGGACAGCACACGTCACCATAGTTCCCAGCACATGATAATGCAAGAGTACATTACCCCTTGTTTGTTCAATTGAAGTCTGGTAAAATCTAAGAACATGTCTTAAGTACATGAGAGGGGCAAATTGTTTATCAAAGCAGAGTTCAATGGAAATAAAAATAAAAAGGTTCCCAATAGTGAAATCAGACTTATACTGCAGCAATGCCACAATTTGATTCCTGAAACCACCCCAGGAAAAGTCTAGGGAATGGGGTTCAAAACCTATTGTACGTTGTAGTAATGTTAACTGATGTAACCGTTCAGGATCAAATAGGGCAAAAGAGTCTTGAATTTTTCACTACCTTTGTACATTCAAATTAATAAGTAATGCTTTGAAAAATCATTTGATTTGGTAAGGAACTATAACAGTACCCGGTTTGATGTGCACATCACCAGTCAATATGTCTTCAAGGTTGAAGGAAGAAGAGTGGTATTTTGGCTTTTGCCAGAACCATCTCATCTTCCTCTTTGTTGCCAGGCTCAGGAGCTGGAGTTTATCCGAGTCATTCAAACTTCTAACAGGAATGAGGTCACCACCCTTGTCGATCTGTTTCACAAAACTGTTGGTTGCTGTTGCAAACATTTTCAGAGGATGAACTTCCACCTACAAAATAAAGATGATTTTGTCTATTACAGTAGAAGTTTCTTGAGTTGAACAGCTATTAATGAAGCAATACAAACAATCTGACAATCACCGTCTGTACAGCAATGTGCTATTTGGAAATATACTTACAGCCCAATAAAACCTCTCATTCAAAGATATCAATATGTTCAACACTTGTGGATTCCTGTAGCTCAGCCTCGCAGGGTGAAACGCTGGGAAAGTTTCCTTACTCCACACACCTCTGTTTACCTAGCAGTGAGTAGGAATCTGGTTGTTAAGTCAATTGGAGGATCACTTTTACGAGGGTAATAATTCCTTCAAGAAAATAAAATCAAAAAATAATAAATTGGTCACTCAATCCATGACTGTTTGTGGGTCACTGCTGTGCACAATTGGCTGCCACGTTTTGCCCACAAAATATACAGTCAATTCACTTTACAGTATATTCTGTGAAGTGCTTTGAGACATCTTGAAGACACACACACACACAGACACACACTCACACAGACACACACACACACACACACTCTCACACAGACACACACACTCACACACACTCTCACACAGACACTCACACACACAGAGACACTCACAGACACACAGATACACACACTCACACACAGACACTGACTCACCCAAGTGAGTCTTCAGCTCTCACAGGGGCGGAAATGCTGTGATCCTCTCGGGGCTGAGCCTCTCTGTCCTGTTTAGGGTTTGTCAGGAATTACCAGACGTTTGTAGCCCAAAGTCAACCAAACAGCGGCCCCGGGGCGGGTGCGGAGCGGCCCCGGAGCGGCCCCGGAGCGGGCGGGCGGGCGGTGCGGTGCGGAGCGGCCCCGGGGCGGGCGGGCGGTGCGGTGCGGAGCGGCCCCGGGGCGGGCGGGCGGTGCGGAGCGGCCCCGGGGCGGGTGCGGAGCGGCCCCGGGGCGGGTGCGGAGCGGCGGGGCGGGCGGGCGGTGCGGAGCGGTGCGGTGCGGCGCCTCCTTGGCACAGCAGTGGCCAACTCCGTGCTTTTGAAACCGTGTAATAAGGAAAAGGTCTTCAAAGGAACCGACAACCAAGTGATGTATTTTAAATCAGGTGTCAGCACAAAGCTGTTGTTCTTCACCCCCAAATCAGCAGCAAAACACACCCAACTGGGTCTGACCCGCCCTCATCTGCCAACACTGTCTGTCCCCCTCTCACAGCAAAGCAAAGACAAGTCCCCGCCCAGACAGCTCTCAACAGCTCCACTGCCTGTCTGTCTGTCTGTCTGCCTCCCGTGGGGTTTGCTCATTACCCTGGCAATGCAAAGTGTGGGGGCACAGAGGAAGAGGAATCCATCTGGGTTTCTGCTCAACAACAACTTGCATTTATATAACTCCCTTCACCTGGGGTAGCGTCTCGGAGAGCTTAACTGTGGCGGAGCCCGACGCTGAGGCAGGGGAGGGTGACTGCAGGCACGGTCGAAGAGGAGGATCTTCAGGCGTGATCTGGAAAAGGGGAAGGAAGGGGCACGGCGGAGAGATTGAGAGAGAGAGGTCCAATGTTTCGGGCCGTAGTGACTGAAAACACAGCGGCCGATTGTGGAACGGAGGGGACGAGGGACACGCAGGAGTGCGCAGCCAGCTGAGCGGCAGGTGGTGGCGTGGGTAGTAAGCAGGTTGGAGAGGTGGTTAGGTGCCCGGGCATGAAGGCATTTGTGGACGAGTGAGAATCTTGAAGTCGAGTTTAGCAGAAACAGTGGCGCCACGAGGAATGGAAATTTGCGTGAACGCCAACTTATGGTGACTGAAGGTGCCTCGTACCATACAACCTTGGGAGAGGCAGTGAGGGGAGCAACAGGCACGATGCAGTTAAAATAAAATATATTTGAACAGCAAATGGATCAATTAACTACCTCGTTTAAAAAAAATCAGTGCAATCACTTCCGTAGCTTTTGAAGTGTGAGATGATTCTATCACCCTTATATGTACATCGACGATATGGCTCGCTCTCCCTCATAGTGTACTGGGTGGCCTGTGTTCAATTCTCACTAATGAATGCAAGTCCCTATAACTCGGTGTAACTTGACTAATGAGTCCTTCCGCGACAACAGGTACTACCAATTGCTATTTAAAATAAAGCAAATTGGGAAGCTTCAGTCAATCAGAGGTTTATTTTACACCTCTGTGACCTAGGCTGAATCGGTTTGTGTATTCCCTCCTTTGATTAATCAGAAAGCTCGAGAAAGCACGGTGAAGTAAACTCAACGGAAGTTTATTGCAGCTTAGATGAAATCCACAACCATCGGCCTTAAATCTTAAACGACACGATAAATATCTACAAACACAACTATAAGATAACAAACATTAATCACACTTAAACTACACATGCTAGCAGCCACTTGTAATGAAGTTAATGTAAAGCACCAAGCACCAGCCTTTCACTACTACTCATCAATAGCCAGATAGTACCTTTTGTTGTTATCAGGTAGAAAAATAGCGACTACGAGCATATGGCGCTCGTTCTTTTATGGGCATTGAGGCCCTCCCTGAATTAGGGAACCCAATGGGAATTGTATTGCACCAGATACTTGATGTAATCGATGCGTTTTTTATGGTCCAATCACAATCATCCTTTAAGTGACCCAAAAGGGAAACAGTGAACCTTCCTCTCCACTTACGTGGAGTCCTGTAGCTCAGTGGTTAGAGCACTCGCTTTGCAAGCGAGAGACCTGAGTTCAATTCCAGGCAGGGCGAAACCTTGGGCAAGTTTCCTTACTCCACACGCCTAATAATAATCCCTCCAAAACCAAAAACAATAATAAATTGGTCATTTTCAATCTACGACTGTTTGTGGGACATTACTGTGCGCAATTGGCTGCCGCGTTCGCCCACAAATATACAGTCAATTCACTTTACAGTGTTCTGTACAGTGTTCACGTCGGGAGGACGTCCCAAAGCGCTATATCAAATGCAAGGATTATTATTATGCAAATTATAGATAGTCAGTTACCTGCCAAATTGTTGCAATCGACTTGATGGCACCATAAGTATTAAAAACGTTAAATACAATAAAAATTTTATTTAAAGGGCTACTCAATATATTTGTAATGCGCTTATAGCCACTTCTACTTAACTTCGGCACTTTCCGAGTTTCCACGAGCGCAATCGGTAATTACTAACCACACTTTCACTGGCTAATGCTTTTAGCAAACACATACAGAACAAATTTTAAACAACAGACAGGCATAGAAAACAAAGGGGTGACCGTGACAAGTTGAAACCTGGAAGGACAGAATAGCTAACAATGACACTACTGCGACAAATTCTTGGTAAGTGCTGTACTGTTCAAATTAAAGTATTAGTATTTTAAAGAAAGCTACATTTTCAGGAAATATATACCTATAGTTTTAATCACGGTTGTTTCACTTTTTAGGTTGTACAATACAAAAATGTCAAAACGTTTTTGTAAATCCCATGAGGAAGCCAAGGGACAGCACGTCTCATTTTCCATCTGTCCCTCAGATACAACTGTACTCTATCCAGATAACCTTTATTAAGAAGTGGGGGCAGTTGTTTTCCCATGTTTGCTGTCACACAATTGACCATGTTCACAAGTACACTAGTGATGAGCACATGAAATCTCGGAAACATTGTGAACGCAAGGCAGCGGCAATAAAGACAAAAAATGAAGGTAAAGTACTTTTGATATATATATAATATTAAATAAAAATGTATCATTTTTGGCTTTCACATTAATTTTGAGAGAAACTTTTAATTTGTATGATTACAAAAGATAATCTTTCTCGTTTTTGATTGAATTTTAAAAGCACATAAAACAACATTTCTAATGACAAATGCATCGTGAAAATCAATTTTTATTTTTTCCTTTCTGGATGGATCTGGACCTGAAAGGTAAGTGGCTCTGATAGCCTGCTTCTCTAGAGCCACTGGATCATCTATGGAGAGGAAAGAATTCATATTGGACTTCGTGCTGCGTTTGACTAGAGCAGACATATCGCTTGAAAAAGCTCCTGCCTTCCAAGAGTTTCTATGCAAGTACACAAAACAGGGAGGGACTATTCCAACACCATCACAGCTTCATAATATATATTTGAAGCAGCTTATTCCTGAGCATGAAGCATTTTTGAAGAAACATGTTGAGGACATGGGTGCAGGTTAGCAGCAAAATGTGTCTCTCAGTAGCACCAATGAGACCTCCGCAATTCTCCACAAAATCTAAAGGTTTCCACCGCAATGCTCTGGAATTTGCAAAACGCTCCACAACTTTTGGCAAATATTTCCGCACATTTCTATTGGTCTGGGCCATGGCTACAACAATTTACATTTATATAGCACCTTCACCAGGAATTCTCATAGCACTTCAAATAGCTTACTGGGAGCTCTAAATGCGGGGCGGGAGGGTACAGGAAAAAAGTAGCTGAAAGCATGGTTGAATAGATGGATCTTGGCAGATGGGAAGCCAGTGGAGTCAAGATGTGAGTATTGGGCTTACTCCATGAGTGAATGAGAGCCAGCTGTGGGAGAGGACACAGACTGCAGAGTTCTGGATGTAATGAAGGTGTGGACGAAAGTCTCGGCAAGAGTTAGTGACAGAGGTGAACAATGTTGTGGAAGTGAAGGAAAACCGAACACATGTGAGCCTATATGTAGGTTTCGATGGACAGTTGGAGGACAAACAAGACATTGAGGTTCTGCACTGGTTTTGTGAGGTGGAGTGAGCATCTAAGCAAGTCATTGTGGTCAGTGCCTAAGGTAAGAAGGCACTGACAGAAGTCTTAGTCTTGTTGACATTTAGCTATACAAAGTTAGAACTGATTCAGGATTTGATGTCTTGACAGGCAATCTGTCAGAACAGCTGTGGTCCTGGAATTGAGGGTACAGGCAGAGAGTTAGAGTTGGTGTACGTGTGGAAGTGGACCCAATTGCCTACAGAGGATGAAAGTAATCATTCAGATGGTGAATTGGAGAGGATGAGAAGAGAGCCCTGGGAATGCTGCATGTGACTGTGCAGGAGTGGGAGGAGAAGCTATTTGGAAGAGATGAACTGAAGATGCTGGGATTGGTAAGCGTGAAAGCAGGAAGATACCAAATCGGAGAAGTGGAGCAGGGAAGAGAGATGGTGGAGAAAATGGAGTGGTCAATGGTGCCGTAGGCAGCAGATGAGAAGAACAAGGAGGCAAAGAGTGCTGGTCGCAGATGAAAAGAACATTGTGGGTGACATTCACCAAAGCAGTCTGAGTGCTGTGAGTGCAGCAGAAACTGGATTGAAAGAGCTCGAAAAGAGAGTGGTGGAAGCAGAAGCAGCAAAAGAGAAATTCCAAATAAAATGTCATGTTTAAATAATTTAGACTCATAGAAATTTTACAGCACAGAAGGAGGCCCATCCTGCCCATGCTAGTACAACAATATCTTTCAATTATATAGCACCCTTCAAGCAAGACAATGCCTCGGAGTGCTTGGAGTAACAAAAGTTTAGTGCCATTCTCCTGCCTTTTCCCCATAACCTTTTGTATTTCTTATTTTAAAATGACAATAACCCATTTCCTACCAACTTAATGTCATCTCACTTGATGATTGGTAAAGTGGTGAAAAGTGCATAGGCTTTATTACAGTAGTAAAACATGGACTTATAATTGTAATTCATGATTCCTTCACCTCCTTCTTCTAAAAAGTGCTAAACCAACCCTTTTTACCAAAAGCGGTGAATTATGTACTTCTTTACATTAAAAAAACAAAGACAGTGTAAAGTGAGATAAAGATTACACCGCCCCCCCCCCAAATAAAAACAGTGTGTAATGGAATTGAGCTGTCAGCTTTGACCATTTGCTCTGATGATTTCCCACCCTCTCTTGTTAAGATTTAAGCACTTGGAGACATCTTCCCAACATGAAAGGTGCTATGTCAATGTAAATTGTATTTTAAGATTCCTTTTTCAGCTATCAGGCTGCTATCAAGGGTTAATGTCAAATCTGTTAAGAAAGAACTCACTCTGCCCGCACACCACAAAATCCAAATACATATAATTTAAACCCACCCACAAACTTTATTAATATAGCTCATATAATTTAGCAGATTTTGAAACTTAGCTGATATCTATTTTTTAGCATTTTGACAGCCTAATTGTAGGATGTCATAAGTGCAGGTTGTAATTATATAAAAAGGCCAAATGAAGGTTTTT